AATCAAATGTGGGATCAGTTTTGAGACAATTCTCATGAATAGACCATAAGTTATATTCCGATAATACTTGTGAACACTCGGGTCTGTCTGTCCAGTGAGGGCCGGGTATGTGCGGGTGATCCCAGTTATAGTATGACATTGAATGCAATACTTGTGTTAATTTAATGACACATTTGTTCATAACTTCATTGTCTGAATTTTTTAGTAAACTACAGAATATATTCAAAAAAATTATGTAATTTTAATTTTAATTCACATTATCTTACAGTTTGTTCTCCAAATGAATTCCAAAAATATCTTTTTCAGCAATTATGGCCAAACTGTAGACATCTATCTTATGGTTATAGACCACTCCCTGACCAACTTCTGGCGCCTGATATTCCAGATCTCCCTTATCTGACGAGTGCTGGTGAACAGTAGCCAAACCAAAGTCACATATTTTGAAAAACCTGCCGTTTCTTACGGTCTTCGCCAATAATATATTGTCAGGTTTAAGGTCTCTATGAATGACCGGAGGATTCAATTCATGTAAATATTGAACGCATTCTAAAATCTCTTTGAATATATGACACGAAATGTAAAACTCAATTGAATTCATGGGTTCTCCCGGTTGTCGACCAAATACTTGTGGTTTGTGTTGAAGTATATTCTGCAGACTATGGGAACACAACTCCATTTGAATGTAATACACCTTGTCTTCATCCCATTGATCTATATATTTGACACAATATTCTGACCTAACTTTTATCAATTTTTGTATTTCTTGCGCGCATTCCCTGAAATTGTCATCACCTATAAGTGAATTAATTGTGATAATTATTAATAATCAAACATTATTTTCAAATACAGTATAATACATTGTAATGCTAAAATAGTTATACTAAATATATCTAAATGTCATTAAATTACTTTCAAATCTTATTTTCTTAACCGCATATTCTCGTTCATTATATTTATATTTAGCAACAAATACTTCCCCAAAAGCTCCCGAACCTAATGAATGCAACTCTTTGAACAAACTCTTGTATTCATTCACTTCCGAAACAACTATAAAACAAATTAAATAAATCCATTCATTATTTCAGTTTTGTTAAAATGTCATTCAATAGTACTCAAAGGAGAGGGGTAAGTCAGAAGCTTACTAACAGTTTATTAATTAATTATACATTTTTGCATAAATTAAATTAAAATAATTAGTTTAGAAAAGTAAAATATTAGAAACTTCTTTAAATTTAAATAATAATGAGTTGGATTTAGCGTTCGAAATGAGATATTTGTAAAATGAACTATTTAACTTATTTCAAGGACATTTGCATAAATTTAGATTAATCTTGCTTATTTATCTACTAATACAGAAAATAAAGTTAATACTCAATAATGATCTTGATCAAATCAAACTGCGAGCGTTATGTTGCAATTTGTTAATAAAAAATACTATCGATAACAATGTGTTAGTCATGAAGTCAGTTACTGACTGGCTGTACGTACTCTATAAATGACACCTCAACCCAATTCATACCATTGTTTGATAACTCTTTTATAGACGAAAATACTTTTTCCAAATAATCCAAACATTTTGCAATAAATTCTTCGCAATTCTTATAATTATATTCCTTATAATCACAACTGACTTCATGACTAACATTTTGCAATAAATTCTTCGCAATTCTTATAATTATATTCCTTATAATCACACAAATTAATGGTTTTATTAGTCATTTGAGACTCATTTGTGAAACAGTCGAAGAAATTTGTATAAATTGTTTCATTTATCATATCCATTGGTTTGTCTGTAATTTGATATATTTTCCCATTCATTATTGCTCTAAACAAAGATAATTTTTCCTTAAATGATTCAATTTTATACATTTCTGTGAACCTCTTATCAGTTTTAAATAATTTTGGTGACATTTGTAACAAATAATCGTTGTTTTCATTTCTATATTGACCGCAAAACTTAATGAATCCATCGATTGATAAGAAGTATGTGAGAAAACCATAGCAACAGATAGTCTTAATACCAGTCATGTCTGCAATGAGTTTTGGTTCCCATATATTATCGGATGAATTGTGTCCCAAATTATACCATTCATTTAGACCCCAACTAAACACCTGTCCCTCGGATGTGATGGCAAATGAAGAGTAAGGACTACAATAAATTCTTTTTATTTCGTGATTAGGATTGAAATTCACTCGAAATGTGTCTCCATTTTGTATATCACTGTCTGATCCCCAACCAAACTGTTCGTATTTATTATAACCCCATCCATAGACACAGCCATCACTCGTGAGAATCATTGTGTGATAAAATCCACAACTTAATTATCATAGTATCATTATTAATAAGTTTGTTAACACTAAATATAATCCCGGTGCTCATACTGTATATTCCGGTGTCTGACCCTCGTTTATACAGTACTTATGATAATCAACTGATTAATTGCTATAATGTTTGACAAACCCTTCAAAAAATGATAATCAATACTAAAGTGCCAAACAATACATTAATAAACACATAAAAAACTTCTTACAGACAAGTGTATGATTGCTAATTGTATATGAAATCTGAAAACAATATAATATATTATAAATTAATTAATTCCTAAGTTATTGGCAATGATAGCGACAAAAACAAGTATATATACAATAATTTTCTCGAATCACTATTGATGTGAATATTAAATATAATGTATTTTAGCAAATAAATAGCCAAACCATAGGGTGCAATAAATTGTCAAATCATTGTAAATCAAATCCAATGGCTTTCATATCGTCATCGCCTTAACAACAAGTGATGATAAAAACTTTAGCCAATAATAGGTATTTTATATCAGACTAGATCTGTATGTGTGTTGTGTAACACTCCTGTTATTACCTGTATTTGCAGTCAACATATATACGACAGGTATAGCTAAGTAATACATACCGAGTAGACAATCGCTGTATAAAAACATGTATTCCTCATAACAATAGACAAAAAAGCGACAAAAATATAGCATTTTTTTCTGTTAACTCATCCAAAAACTCATATAATAATAGTATTTTGTAACAAATATATATTAAACTCAGAAATGGCTGTTAGTTGCGGTGGATCTGTGATTAAAATTGTATTATTCGTGTTCAACTTCATCTGAGTGGTAAGTAGCTTGACATAAAGTTTTTTATAAATAAAATATTTTTACATTTCATTTATTATTAGTTGTCAAAAATGGCAGGTTATTACAATTGTTTAAAAAATACTGTGATTTATAATAAGAGACATAATTTATTAGAAAATATATATTAACTCAATGGACAGACATCTCAGAAATATTTGATAAAAATGTTTGTGTTTATAATATTTTATATATGAAAAAATCAATTGTGTTAACAGTAATAGCAATACAACCAACAGATTGTTGTTTAGCAACTGATATATGAAATGATTTATACAATACTAATATACAGTAGCGTACAGTAAATATTTGTTTTTAATTTAATAATAGATTTGTTTATAACTCATTGTATTGATAATTTTCTAAACTACAGAATATATTATTATTATTAAACTACAAAAGTAAAAACCCAATTAAATACAAGTATTAAATTAATCTGGTAAACAATTGCATTTATTTTTATATTAACATTATATTATGTACTAAGTTTATATATTGTGTAATATTAGAAGTTTATTTCAAAATCAATTCATTATAACCGAATTAATTTAGCTGTAAATGTTAAAACTCAAAATGATTGTTCACTACACCGTCGCCCTTAACAACACTCGCCATTAACTGGTCGAACCGGTCGGACCTATAATAGCCGTCGCGCACCTCTATCCGTAGCGCGCGTATAGACCGCTATATATGCCGTAACCCACGTTCACGAGGGCCTCCAGGTATGCGTCCAACTCGGGGCTACTTAGCGTCGGGTCGGACACAAGCGCCGCCCTCATGGCCACCAAATCCGCCCACAAATGCTTGACGTAGTCGTAGTGGTGGTCGACAGCCGACTGCACACTACAGCCGTGGGCGGAAGCGTACGACATGATGCGGTTCGTGATGATACCGGTGCCGGGTTTAGGGATTATGGTCATGTAGGCATCAATGGCCAGGGCTAGTTTGTGGGAAGTGGTCTCAAACTTTTTGAACATCAGGTGCTCGCCTAAGGTATCGGGCGGACACCAGTCCATTGTGTAGTGCATTAAAAACACGCAGAGATTGTACTCTAAATGATAATTATGTAATAAAAATGATAATATATCGACTCATTTCAAAATTGTTGATATAATTTATATATCAGTTTTATACGCTTTTAAACTGTAGCTGACAAAAGTAAACTGCTTAAATTGACTAACGTGTTTGCATCTCCCGGAGCTCATCCACCTTATCGTATGGTATAAACTGGTCATTAAGTCGCTCGTAATGAAATCGCCAGTAGGTCTCCAGCGATCTCTTCGTAGACATTAACACTAATGCCTTGTCATCGGTCGTCAAATCGCTTAATAATGTCTGCAAACCTTTCAACAGCCGATTCCCGGTTCATATAAATTATGTGAACCATTGGTTAAGTTATAATTATATTTCAACTAGGATATTTTATGTTTATAATTTGTTGATATGTCACATGTTAATTAGGTTACTGTAATCATACCTGTTTAATAGGGTCTACACTACATAACTTTCATTTAAGAATAGGTCAATAAAAATACCAATTAAGTAAATAAGCCGTTAAATGAGTAATAAAGTTGCATGATGCTAATAATATGCTTAATAAGTAGAATAAAAAAGAGGCTAATTTTTGTGCTAGATCAATATTAATGACATTAAAGTTTATTTTACGGGTCTTATTTAGAAATAGCCTGACCATTTGTTTCTAATTTAGTGATGAATGCGATAAAAAATTATAGTTTTGTAAATAAAATCCAATTCATGAATACAGTCATAGTGTAGATAAGTTTTTGTGATATACTGTATATTAGCTATGGGCAACTCAGATTATATGTTAGTGGGAAAAGGTTTCGATATTTCCAGAAATGTTTGATAGTATTTCGGGAATATAAGAAATTCCATGTAAAGTCAAAACAGAATTTCCTATATTCCCGAAATACTGTCAGCAATTTCTGGAAATATCGAAACCTTTTCCCACTAACTTATAATCTGAGTTGCCCATAGCTAACTGTATATGAAATCTTTTGAATTCTTTACTATAAAAATTATATTTTCAATACTCAAAACTCAATGTTTTAATATAAATCTACAGTTAATTTATTGTTATTCCCTCACTCAACAATTAACCTATTTTGCTACTCTACTAATAAGTATGGATTTGGTTATTTGACCTACAAAGGTCATCAACGAAACCAATATGAAAAGGTTCAAATATCATACTGACCAAGGACAAAATCTTTATTACATTGCCCACTTTCGAGAGTCGTAATGATTTTGTCTCCCATATCGCGTATCTTATCGGCAGATCTTTCTTTTAGTGGTCCCTCCATAGCGTTGTACTCATACATAACGTAAGAGAAATAATTGATCACTTTGAACACCCGTTATCTATTGACGCTACAATTATACCTCACGTATGACATTGTATAGGCCACGACATCTGTCGTCGACTCGCGGTAATCTGGAAATTGGGTCGAAAATTTGGTTAACTCCCGGTTCACCCACTCGATATTAACAATGTGATATTAATTTTGACACCAAATTGTTACATTATTTGTATTGCACAAGTTATTGCAATTTAATTAATTATTTCCCAATACAATGTGTCCTCTATAAAGGCACCTTCTACAAGGGCTATTTTCTTTAGCGGCAACACAATTTGAAAACACCGGCAACTCCTATGGGCTATATAATGCTTAAGGCTCCCTATTAGGGCAACTTTTATAAAGGCAATAATTCCAT